TTCCAAACTTCAGATATTTTCTCTGTATCTTCAATAAACACTTTAAATATATCAAGGAGTGAGAGAGAATCTGGATTCTAATGTTGCTTTTGAAAAATGAAATCTTAAGTCATAAATCAACGTGCTCAGGTTCCTGATGCTGCAATCACCCTGTGCTACTCTCTTTAAAAGAAAAATATTAAGATTCAATATTGGGCCTTAGCAAAAATAAGACAAAGAGGTAAAACCCAGGTACCAAGACTTCCTGGTAACTTGTTAAATGTCCTGAGGGTTTTGCATTGCACAAGACATTATTTTAAACTGCAAGATCAAATTTCTACCATGTTTTTGAGTGGTTAATACTCATTTCTATTGGATTAGTTAATCGATTCTTAAAATTCTTGTAGCTAAATGAGAGCATTTTGGAAGTTTTGGGTTGAAGACAAATGCCCAAATGACAGGGAAGGAATGAAAAGAACAAAAGATGTACAAAAGTTTCATCTCTTTTCTTACCTCTCAATCTATAATAAGCTTGAAGATTGGCTATAATTTGTTTCATGGATTCCTGTGGGCAGACTTTAACTCCAGTTGGGAAAAGTGCTGATCTTTTTGTTCGATGCTTTGCCAAATCTAATATTCGTCTCATGGTGGACACTTTGTATGTTTTTGTAGGACTTTCAGTTGTTTCAATTCTTAGGGCATTGTCTATGTCTTTGGTTTCAGAATGGTATTTTCTAATGGAAATATCTGTAAAAGAAAGATTGATTTCCTAGTGAATATATAGTTATGTGATATAGGTGACATACATGGATAAATGAATGAGATAAACTAACAATTATAATCCTCTGGTTTATGAAATTTCTACCTTGGTGGACTACCAAATACAGTTATTCGAGCACCAGGTATTATCAGGGATTAGAGAATAGTATAATGAGTTGATCTAGTGTTTTTTTCTTTAACAAACAAACAAACAAACAAATTAAAAAAACTTCCCAAATCACCTTGCCTTTAGGACCTGCCAAATATTAAAACCATTTCCCACACATCTCTCTAAAATCACTTCCCACTTAGCACTCAAGGCTCCCAAGAGATGCTTCTTTTGATAGACATTATAATTCAAGTGGGAATGATGAAGCATTGTGGTATCCAGAGGTGTGCTCTTGATGAAGAAGTGGAGTGCTTATGAAAACCTAGGGGAAAAAATGCAGTGAAGTAACTTTCCTGCCTATTAGTGGCAGCCCTAGGATTTCTATAAAGGAAGAGTTCAAAAACAAAAAACAAAAAACAAAAAACAAAAAACCTCACTGCTGTTGAGTCAAATCTGACTCGCAGTGCCTCCTTGGGCTTCTGAGGCAGTATTTCTATGGAAGTAGATTGCTCAGTCTTCCTTCTGTGGGTTTGAGCCACCAGCCTTCTGGTTAGCAGTCAAATGCTCTAGGCACTAGGCCATCAGAGCTCCCAAA